TTCGCCACTCGCTAACTGATGGCGAATCGATGACGGCTATTATAACACAAAATAGTGTTATTATTATTATATTATTTGATTATTTGTAGTCTTGCATTTTATAATTCTTTTATGCCTTTACAGTGTCTAAAACTCGTTTTATTTTAATTTGATAATAAATTAAATTATATCCCGGGGTCTCGGGATCCCGAGGGCTTCTTCCCCTGTATTTACTATGGGCGGAATACAAATTTTTGGGGTGAAGTTTTTTTCGGGCGAAACTCAGGATAAGGCAGATTGTCTTTTTCAAATAACTGTAGAACCGGCTTTCGAAAAAAGCAAATAATCGAACAACCAACCTTTAAGTCTCCATAAAATTTGGGTGTTTTCTCGAAGCTGTAAATATGTCAAGGACACTCACATCATCACATGGCACCACAGGTTTTAACAAAACAGGTCAAAACACGTTGTATGTAGCAGGTACATATGTACATTGCGTAAATTTATAGGGAGTGCAAGGTCAAGCATTTGTATGGCAGAAAACCAATCGGTGATGAGCATAGTGGGCCACATTGACCTTTTACGATTCAAAAAGTGATTTTGGCATGCAAAAGCCGACAACAAAAACGCAATAAGACAAAATCGCACAATTCAGCAATAGCAAACTGCACAAAAACAAAACAAAAAACATGAATGCAACGAATTCGATTTATTTGCGTCCAGATTCCATGAACTGATAGAATTCGTTTGCCGGATGATACAAATAGCCCAGTTTTCAATGATGTCGTCCAAAATATTTGCCATGCAGTAGGAACAACAAAAATAAATCTAAGATAGAATAGCTTCAACAGCTATGACGACCACAGCCGCCATTGAGGGCACGCAACATCGGCGTCGGCTTTGCATTTAGCTCTGAACCAACAAATTTTTTTTTAGTCCGCCAAACCTTTTTGTATGAGGTTAATTTTTTTTTTTGGCAAATTGCTACCAAAGAGCCAACACGTGTGACATACTACACACTAGTAAGCTTCGTTATCAACATTTTGACGTTGGCGCTGCTCTGGTCGCGCGAGATTGTTACGCGTTGATAGAAAAAAATTGCAATGTCAGAGTAGAAATTGCAATTCACCTTTATTTGCCAAGGTATGTTGGAAGTACTTACATACGAATATAGCACACATTTATGATGTACATAGTATGTATAATCTGTACATGATGTAAGAGAAATCGTATACTGGCCTTAAAATAAGATTAAAGGGAAGTATTAAAACATAAAAATTTGTCATGCACTTCCTGTGGTTACCCTTCTACAGAGCATCTACATATTTACATACATATTATTGTATGTATAATAATAGCCCATTTATCGGCGTCCGCAAAAGTTCATTAACCTTTTTTTGCTGGCACATATAAAAAGAGTCCTTGCAAAGAATGTTGTTTTATTTTAAAATGTTCATGAAACACTTAAGATATGATTTTTTTAACACTCTCTAAGTCGGAATAAAAATTCCCGTACGTACTTACCTACTGTGCCGTCCACAGTGGTTTTTGTACTATTGATTGCTAGACACGAAATCCTAGAAGACGCGAACCAGGAAAGCGTGGTAAGTGTGAGCACAAACGGAGAGGAGGCTCGTCTCCGCTCTCCGTACAATTGGAGGATGCTTTTACTAAACGGGGAGGGTGACCGAGGACGAGGCCAAGGCAGGAAGAGTTGAAAGCTAAGGCACTATACGCCGCTGCTGTTAAGAGCAGCGACGAACATGTCAACAAGGTCAAGCGGACTGAGGAGGAGGAGAAAAGGTTGGCTTGAGTTAATCAAGAAGTAGAGAATGGAAAATTTACTACGCAGCGAGACCACAATTCTCAGCTAAAGATCCAAAGTTCGCAAACTTGAACGAAGGACATATTGTACCGGCGGTCTGTTAAAGAAGCAGAAATGTAGAGACGAGGCTAGAAAGCCAAATGTCCGAGACAGCGGCGGCGGCCAACGCGATTGCTAAACGACATCTCTTCGTGGCACTCATCGATCGCAGTAACCCGCTCGGACAAGTGAAGCGAGAGGGGTTGAAGGCAGTGGAAATAAAGCTGGAAGAAATCATATTCGCAAAAACCGACACAGAGCCGATTGCACCCATGCCTATAAATATTTTTTTAACTTAATTTAATTTAATGTTTTAAAAATAAAAATATATATATATTTTTTTTATTTAAATTAATTTCTGGAAACTTACTATTTTCTCCTTTTGATATAATTTTTGTTTGATTTTTAAAGAAGGACATATTTTTGTAATGTCTTTTAATTTTTAGAAACTAATTTTATTATTTCTCACACTCTATAAATCAGTCATCTTGTCTGTGCTGGTGTATGGCGCGGAGGCATAGACAATGAAAACATCTGATGAAGCGGCGCTTGGAGTTTGCGATGGCGTATACCGCAGACGATTTAAGAATGAGCTGTATGAGCTTTACAACGATATAGACATAGTGCAGCGAATTAAAATTCAGCGGCTCCGCTGACTTGGCCATGTCGTTCGAATGGACAGAAACGCTCCCGCTATGCAATTATTCAACGCGGGCCGCGATGGTGGTAACAGAAGAAGAGGAAGGCCTCCTCTGCGCTGGAAAGACCAGGTGGAGAAGGACTTGGCTTCACTTGGCATTTCCAGTTCGGCTCAGTTGGCAAGAGAAATGACTGGCGTGCTGTTTTGGACTCGGTCAAAATCGCTTAGGCGGTTACAGCGCCAATAAAGAAGAAAAAGAAATTAAATAATCTGAAAAATTCATCTATTGTTCGAATTTCCACTAAAATGATTTTATTTAGCTTTATATTTACTCATGGCATACATACATACATTTGTATGTACTAACGTCTGTATTTATTTAGCTGTAACCTTAGAAAATTTTAATAACTGTGTAGGTGATAAATATACACATTTCGGGTTTTAAATATTAATTTCTACTTAGTAAGTATAGATAGTTTGATGAGGAATTAGTACCCATCACTCTCAAACCTAATTAATGAGAATGTCTTCCGAGCACAAAGCTTCTACTCTTGGAACCATAGCAGTAGGAAGAACATCAACATCACCAACACGAAATTGGTCTGCTTAGTCTTATCGGCAGAAGACTTGCTAAATATACCTTTTTTCTTGGACAACCAAGATGAGTCTTCCGTGGTCTGAGCAGGCGGCATGGTTGGAGTTGGAGTTGGAAAGGCGAGCTGACCAGGTTGAATAGGTGCGCCACCAATTGCCGCCGCAGGTTGGGCAGCTGGTGCATGCCACGCAGGTGCTACACCTGGCTGAGCAGGCACTTGCACATGTGATGAAACGTCTGTTACTACCGGTTGCTGCTGTGAAACTATCGGAGCTGGTAGCTAAATAAAAAAAAAATGTAACTTATTAAAAACAATAAACTAAATAGTTGACTTACTTCAGCTTGTGCCGCAGAAGCTGGCGCTGTTTGACCAGCAGAATATTGGGTCGGCTGTTGTGGTGGGTACTGTTGTTGTGATGGTGCATGCGGTTGGTCGACAGATGTTTTAATATTTAAGAAAGAATCTTGAATACCACTCGATTGTGGATTTTGGGTATCTTTCGGTGGCTGCTGTTCTTCATTAGAATTATGTGGGCCAAGCTTTTCAATAAGCGTGCGAAATAGTGATCGATCTGCTGGTTGTTGTGTGGGCTGTGATTGCGGGTGCGCAGACTCTGAAACATTTTCAATGGCTGGATGTGCCGGTTGAGAATGTTCAGGCTGAGGTAGATTTTGCGCGGCTGCTTGCGAAGGCTGTGGTTGTGCGGATTCAGGAAGATGTGCCAGCGGAGGATATAAGAATTGAGTTTGACCGGGTTGAGCAGTATGAGAATCATGAGAATGGTTAGGTTGAAGTGGTGGATACGTAGCTGGTTGCACAGGCGCAGGCGCGGGAAGATGTGGCATGACAGGCTGTTGGAAATGAGGAGAATACTGGCCGGCTGATTGTGCAGGCTGAACATAAGGTTGTGTCAGGCTAGGATCCCAACCGTATGGATGTTGCTCTACGGCTGGTTGTTGAACGGGCGCTGGAAGTTGCGGTGCGGCAGGCAGTGGGAATTGTCCATGTTGAACAGAAGATTGATCGACTGGATACGAATAGCTAGGCTGCCAAGCTTGCGCTTGTTGTTGTATGGCCGGTTGCGATTGCTGTTGTATGGCAGGATATGAGAATTGCGTTTGCATAGGTTGAAGAGATGGTTGGTTAATAAATTGTGGCGCCGGCGGTGGAGGTGGGGGTGGGA